GAGACAACGAGAGTTACTTTATTACTTTACTGCTTTTGACGGAGAAAAAAAACCTGTAAGAGTGGAAAACACAATTTCTTATTGTTATTCTTATTGCTGATAAGCTAGGACGATAATAATAACCATCCCAAATCTCAATGGTTCCATCTTGTTCAATGATTTTTATCAGACAGCCGTGCCATTAGTTTCAGGTGCGGAGATTACCACAGATTACAAATTTGAGATGTTATGGGATGATAGCCTATTAATGACGATAACAAAAGTAGAAGAATGTATGTTGATTTCCTAACTGACTTATTAGTATTATTTAATGTTCAATGACTAATCGTTTCGAGAATTTTCGTTTTATAATTCTTTAAGTTTCATTAGCTGGCTTCTTTCTGTCGGGGAAGTAATTTGCATTATTATTTCTACACAATGATTGCAGCAATAATAATGAATTGTAGTTCAACGGAAGATGGAAAATCGCTTATCTTGGAGGAGAAGCCGTTTCTGTTTATGAGAGACTCTCTTAATTTGATAAAGTGAGTGTGCAAATGATAAAATAAAGGATTTATTTTCATCTATCACACCAAGCTTCTGAAGGAAATCCGTGTACCATTATTCCTCAAATTAAAACCTGGATTTTATTAATTTTATATTTTTTTTGCTCTTTAAGAAATTAGAGGAAAGTATCGGAAATGACGACGTCACGTAAAATACAATAGGATCACGTAACGTCACGTGATCCTATTGTATTCACGTGCAAACACGTTTTTTGAATGATAAGAAAATATAATGCAATTCTTTATCTAAACATTTGTTATCATTGAAATTATTGCAAAAATTCTGTTGTTCTAATTACTTACCATTAATTTTGGTAGGATAAAACTATTTCACAATTTTTATTGCTTAATTTATTTAAATCGTTATCAATTTGATAAATGTAATGCTAATGCTAGTGGACTATTAGTGCCACAGATGATATGTAACATGATAGCGCCATGTGAAGTGAGGTCATGATCGGAACATGTATATAATTCTTTCGGATAATTGAAATGACATTCATCGGATGATAGGGAATGTCCCACTGATGATAATACTACCGCCTTAATATAGCAAATATCTAATAATGATGGATATTATCAAAGCGTTAATTAATTTGAAAAATTTAATTTAGCATCAAAGGAATATCTGACCTCTTTACAATTCCTTATTGTTATGTGCTGATAAGTTTAGACGATGTTAATAACCATTCCAAATCTCAGAGGTTCCTTCTTCGTGCAATAATTTTTATCAGATTTGTCGTGGCATTAATTTCAGCTGCGGAAATTATCACAGATTATAAAGCTGATGAGTTATGGGAAGATGGTCGATTAATAG